TTATTTGTCATTTTGCCCTTGTTGCTTTCAATAATTTTTCTTTGTGTTTAATTTTTGCCAATTTGATTACTATGTGTCTCAGCATGTTTCTCCTTGGGTTTATCCTGTCTGGGTCTCTCTGTGCTTCCTGAGCTTGGGTGGCTATTTCCTTTCCCACGTTAGGGAAGTTTTCGACTGTAATCTCTTCAAATATTTTCTCGGGTCCTTTCTCTCTCTCTTCTCCTTCTGGGACCCCTATAATGCAAATGTTGTCACGTTTAACGTTGTCCCATAGATCTCTTAGGCTGTCTTCATTTCTTTTCGTTCTTTTTTCTCTATTCTGTTCTGTGGCAGTGAATTCTACCATTCTGTCTTACAGGTCAGTAATCTGTTGTTCTGCCTCAGTTATTCTGCTATTGATTCCTTCTAGTGTATTTTTCATTCCAGTTACTGTATTGTTCATCTCTGTTTGTTTGTTCTTTAATTCTTCTAAGTCTTTGTTAAACATTTCTTGCATCTTGTCAATCTTTGCCTCCATTCTTTTTCTGAGGTCCTGGATCACGTTCACTCTCGTTATTCTCAATTCTTATTCTGGAAGGTTGCCTATCTCCATTTCATTTAGTTGTTTTTCTGGAGTTTTATCTTGTTCCTTCATCTGGTACACAGCCCTCTGCCTTTTCACATTGTCTATCTTTCTGTGAATGTGATTTTTGTTCCACAGGCTGCAGGATTGTAGTTCTTCTTGCTTCTGCTGTCTGCCCTCTGGTGGATGAGGCTATCTAAGAGGCTTGTGCAAGTTTCCTGATGGGAGGGACTGGTGGTGGGTAGAGCTGAGTGTTGCTCTGGTGGGCAGAGCTCAGTAAAACTTTAATCAGCTTGTTTGCTGATGGGTGGGGCTGGGTTCCCTCCCTGTTGGTTGTGTTTGGCCTGAGGCGACCCAACACTGGAGCCTACCTGGGCTCTTTGGTAGGGCTAATGGTGGACTCTGGGGGGGTCTTATGCCTAGGACTACTTCCCAGAACTTCTGCTGCCAGTGTCCTTGTCCTCACGGTGAGCCACAGCGACCCCCCACCTCTGCAGAACCTCCAACACTAGCAGGTAGGTCTGGTTCAGTCTCCTATGGGGTCAGTGCGCCTTTCCCTGGGTCCCGGTGCGCACACTGCTTTGTGTGTGCCCTCCAAGAGTGGAGTCTCTGTTTCCCCCAATCCTGTCGAAGTCCTGCAATCAAATCCCGCTAGCCTTCAAAGTCTGATTCTCTAGGAATTCCTCCTCCCGTTGCCGGACCCCCAGGTTCAGAAGCCTGATGTAGGGCTCAGAACCTTCACTCTGGTGGATGGACTTCTGTGGTATAAGTGTTCTCCAGTTTGCGTGTCACCCACCCAGCAGTTATGGGATTTGATTTTATTGTGATTGTGCCGCCCCTACCGTTTCATTGTGGCTTCTCCTTTGTCTTTGGATGTGGGGTATCTTTTTTGGTGAGTTCCAGTGTCTTCCTGTCGATTGTTCAGCAGTTAATTGTGATTCCGGTGCTCTCGCAAGAGGGAATGAGTGCGTGTCCTTCTACTCCGCCATCTTGAACCAATCCTCTTTCAAAATAAAAAAATTTTTAAGTCATGATTAGATGGCTACTACATTCAAGGTATTGCACTATATGCTCAAGGACAAGGGACATTTGCAAAGATGGAGACTATCTGTTTCCTGTTCTCTAGGTGTCTTCAGTTGGGAAGAAGAAAGCCATAAACATGGAGAGAAAACCCTATCTATCAAAGTAAAATGTATTAATTATGCATTCCAAGAGAAATGCTTTAGAAAGGTCATAGCCACTAGACCAGTGCAATAAGACTATAAAACATATTCCTCCAGCCTCTTTCTTCAAACAAGACACATTCATCCCAGATTGAAAGATATGGCAGCAGGGTCTCCAGCTTGAAACTTTTCAATGTAGTCTGGTCCAGAGAAGGTGGTCTCAAATTTTGGATTCTCCAAAAGTGGTTTTGGTATAGTTAATAGAGATGCTACCAAAAAACCTAAAACGGAAGACGTGCCCATTGTATCCTTTGTTTATTGACTATCTACTATGTGCCATGTACTGTGCAATTCGCTGGGAATATCTTTGTGCACACAACAGAGATGGCTGTTGCTTTTCTGCAGTTTCCAGGGGGTATATTCTGTAAATTGGCCTCCATTTTGGCACTAGTTAACCTTGTTTTCCATTTCCCTGATCTTTCATACTCGTGTTTTCTTTGTTTCATTTTTTTCCCATATTATATGTTTCTTTGTAAGATGCCATAAATTCCTAACACAAGCTGGTTATAAACAACAGAAGAATGTTTCTAGTTAGTCATGTGCCAGCATTTTTTGCCTTGTACTTGATTAGCTACTTGAGGACAGGGTTTCTGTCTCCCTAATTAGAACATGGTATTTCTTTTTGTATTTGTCTTAATACTCAGCATTGTATACAGTATACTTCCCAATAAATGTTTGTAGATATAATTTGTCGCTCTAAAATAGTTTCTATAAGCACTGCCCCTGATTAAAACAGCAGTTCTGCAATCACTCAGGCAAGAGGCTTTGAAATATCCAAAACAATGTATTTGCACAAGAAATCTTGGGTTTAAAAACTCTGCTGGATTGTGAATAGTCACCCAAACCAGCTAGCTTGATTTTCAGGGAACACACAGGTGGTTAATAGTTTATTACAATTACTGAGAGCCAAGAAGAAAATGGTCTCACTCAAAGAAGAAGTTTTACAGACTCCAGCTGAAGTTCGGGATCAAGAGGAAAAGTAAGGCTGTTGAAGGAGTGAACTGGATGATATATCTTGCCCAGTTTCCATTTGACACCCAAAGGGAAGGAAATTAGAAATGAAAAGGTTTGGCTTTTCTTTGGAAATGATCCTTCCCTGGTTGGACTTTGCAGGGAGTGTTAATGAAGTGATTCCAAGTGGAAAACACAGGCGGCTGACCCAAGACCTGATCAACACAGTATGCATTCAGTTTGATGCAGTGAGCATTTCCCCCGTGTGTTCTGTATAAGACAGTGCCCCAGGCAAGATGAGAATGTGAGGGAGATAGAAGAATGTGGGGGAGGCAAAAATGAACAAATGCACAAAAGAGATGTATTCTGGCCCTAGGAATTGGGGAGGAGCTCGTGGAGAAGGCTTTGGAGGAGGGGTGTCAGAGAGCCAGGCAGAAATGGAAGGATGGGCATTATTCCAGGAGGAGGAAACCTTGAGTACAAAGTCATGGTGATGGAAAATGTGTTCTGTGTTTGGTAAGGGGGGTTGTATGGCTGGACCATTGGGGTGATGTCAAATTACCAAAGTATTAAAATATTTGGAGACATGTGGGTGACTGAATTACATGCTCTGGTTCCACAGAGATGTTTGGAGTCCTGACACAGTGTGATCCAGACCAGGGAACCTTCTCTCATGCATTACGTGTGGGTACTAGGGGACCACATGGAAGTTCATCCGTCTCCACTTCCTCCCTCTACCCTCAGCTAAGCCAGGACTGTTTCTACAAACCTCCTGGGAAGGAGGGAACTAAAACTGTGATGTCATCCGTATGGATGAGTGGTTCTTAAGATACATTCAGTGAAATCCTAAGGTTCCTTTGGAAACATCTCAGGGTTCCCCTGGAATGCAGAGACATAAATAAGCAAAATGGGGGTGAAGTACGAGCAGGCACTTATCGCATTTCAAAGAGAGCAGATCTACATTGGTCTATTTTATGTGTTAGGCCTCTGCATAAGACTTTATTTGGGAAAAAAAGAATTCCATGCCAACAAAACAAACAACAACAATAAAATACTATTTATATCTGAATAATCAGAAAACCACAGCAAACCTGTGGAAATGGGAGGAGGCATGGTAGGTGTCAAGGGCGACGGACATAGAAAGGCAGGCAGTGATATTAATTATCAGAATAATTGCTTTTTAAAAATATCAGGCATTGATTTGAATTTGCTTGGAGGGGAGAAATTTCAAATCTATAGCTAAGTATAACTTGGAATTGTATGATTTTACCTTTCTGAAAGAAATGAAAGAACCCACTGCATGGAGAGAGAAGATATATTTCTCTTGGCATGGGCAAGCCATTATAGGCAAACTTCAGTAGTAATATCTATATATATTGAGAGCTTACTCAATGCCAGCCACTATGCTAAGCATTTTTATGTCCATTCATATCTAGTCTTTAACTCAAATCTATAAAGTTGTCATTGTTTTTATCTATATTTCTTCATAATAAGGAAACAAGGCTCAGAAACTTCAGTAACATCCCTCAAATCGCACAGTTAATAATAATTAATAATAGGGGTAATTAATAACAATAGGAGTAGCTGATGGAGACCATGTAAGGAGTTTCCAACTCATCCAAGTCCAATTTCAAAAGCAAACGCTGACTATGGGACCCAAGATCACTTGGTTATACTGGAAAATTCCACAGGAAGAAATTAATCCATCTGCCACAGCTACTGCAATCTTTGGATCTTTTGTTTTATGACTCTTTCTTATCTCTTGTCTCCTTTCCCCTCATGGACTATAATATAGTTTCTTAAGCAATGAGATGGATGAGATATACCAAGCTTTTATATGCAAAATGTGTGATTTATGGGGTTGTAATTATATTTTAATTATTATCAAAAATTTCTCTTTCTTTATGACAATCACCCTCAAAGCTGCAAATAAATATATTAAAGTTTTTTATCTTAATTCTATTACAAATCAAATATTCCATTCCAGATATTTCAGGGCCAATATCTCTTTCTTTCTTTCTTGTGCCTAATCTCTTAGCTTCAGTAACTCATTGTTAAATGGAAATAATCAGGCCTGTCTTAAAGAGTGGCATGACAATGAAAGATAATGTCTATAAAATGTCTCCTTTAGGGCCTGATCCATGATAGGCACTTTGTGTTACAATGTTGATAATAATATTAATGCACGTGTCTTTCCTTTACTTGGAGAAGCTGTCCTGTTTAATTGAAAGTTATTTCACTGGATTGTGTCTGTTACTTTGCAGGTACTGTATACATTTGATGATCTAGGATTTAAGTCCATGGCCCTTCCATTACCGAGAAGTAGAACGGAGGCGGCATGGGGCTTGCTGGTGCAGACATCTCATAATTCCAAGCAGTGGTAGCCACCAAGAAGAAAGGAGACGAGAAGGTGAAGCAAAAAGGAGGGAGGAAGGGAAAGAGGAAAGGTACAGATACCCAAGAAGCTAAAGGGAAGAGCAGAGCCAACGAGGGCTTTCCACTCTTTACCGACAATGGCAAAATGCCTTCTCATCTGAATGGCTCCCATGCTTCACTCCATTGGAGAACTTCCCTTCTCTCACCCCTTCAGGCTACACTCGGGCTCTTTGCAGGCACCTCTTCTCCCACCTCCTCTGCCTGCCCCCGGCTGAGCAGAGTGCCCCTCCTGTGCATTGTGCATTCTGCCATGCTTTGTTCTGCCCACTAGGCTGGATCGTGTGGCAGAAGCCCCGTCAGTGTCTGCTGAGCTGGACTGCTAAAACATTCTGCACCTCTCACAGATCCAGGGTGTAAACTGAAGAGTATATACTTCCTGGGGATGACTTCACATCACCCAAGTCTATGCAACTGACACAAGCACACTGGTTGAAATACATATTGGTGATATCTTTGGCATTGCTCAGAACAGCTACAGCAGTTGTTAAAAGCTATCTTTTGCTTGCTGTGTTGTGAATTGGTTCGGTCAGGGCAGAACTGAAGCACACATCCCAGAGATGGTTGTGGAAAGCACCAGATCTCCTTATGAAAATCACCTTCTAGCTCCCAGGGCCCTTGTCCTGCTGATCTGCCAGGTCAGGAATTCTGCAAGTTGTCAAAAGTGAAACCTCAGTGGCCTGGAGCTGCAGTGCAGCTCTGGGTAGTAATCCTGGGTAGTAATCCCTTGTCAAAAGGCAGCAAGGTGGGCGGGGAGGGGCGCTAAGCACTGTTGAAGTGGACAGGCTTCTCACACAATGTACCTGCTGCCCTCTCACTGTCTGCCTTACCTCCACACCTTCCAGAGTAGGGACCAATCAGATCACGGCTCTCATTACCCGCCCAGTCTCAAATGCTTTACATTGTGACAATGTCCCAGGCTCAGCAACATCTAAGCAGCTAGCAGCATTAGGGCAGGGGACATAAAGAACTTGGCCTGAGCCTGCTTTGTTTATGGAGGAGGGGCTTATAATCTGTGTCCTGCAAATCTGCATGTACAGCAACAAGATATATTTCAAAGGTCCACGGGTCATCTGACCACATAGGTAATTGAGTCCAAAGGGTCTTTGAGCTGATAACTGTCAAAGGAAAGCCTCTAGGAATAACTTCTCTAGAGCTGCCCTTTAAATTAGGAAATCTGTCTATAGCAGGTTTTCTCAAACTCTCAGGTAATGCTTCGTCACGGGGGCTGTCCCACGCATCGTAGGATGTTTGGCAGCCTCCCTGGCTTTTACCCACTAGATGCCAGTAGCCTCACCCTCTTCCTCCCAGCAGTGACAACCAAAAATGTCTCCAGACACTGCCAAGTGTTCCGTGGGGAGGAAGATTGCCCCCAGTGAAGAACCACTGGTGGTAACTCACATGTCTAGCTATGAAATGAAACCTCACTCAAATACAGTCTGAGCTACCCTGATAACCCTGAATCTAGTTGTGCTTTCAAATGACTTCAGATTGGTTACACTTCTCCCCAAGCCTGGTGCCAGTGCAGCAACTCATTCTAAACTATCCAAGCTCTCCCTCGAGCCAGTGTTGACATACATGAGAACAGCTTCTTCAGGTTCATTCATTAAATCAACAAATATTTATCAAACAATATGCCAGGTTATAGAGTTTTGAAAAGATCCACCTGAAGTTTCTCATGAGGTAAAGTCCCTTTCCTGTCTCAAAGGAAAGAAAAACCATAACAATATTTTTAAGCTGCCAACTTCTGTACTGTTTCTGGACAATTTGATCACTTTTTATCCTTGGGCCCAATTATCCCTCTGCCTGTTTATGGCTTTGCTTCCCACCTCTGTAGTAACAGGAGCTCACCATGATGCTTTGCAGTTATCATCACTGACAGCCTTTCCCCAGATAGCGGCATCCAGAAAACCAGAAACAAGGGCAAACCAGTGATGGAAGGCCTATGGCTTGCCAGATGCTGCTCTTCTGCAAGAGCAACACACCAGCAATGATTTTGATCCAAAGGTAGCATTAGACATAGACAAAGAAACTGTAAATGTAATCATACAAAATAGGACAAAAATACATGCAGAACGAGATGGCCACCTGGGAAGGCAAAGGACGGATGTCAAATAGTCAAGGGAGGGCAGTAGATAAAATATTTAGAGGACACGCCTACAGTTTAGGGTGACAGTGTATTTCAATAATCTGGGAGGTGACCCTTTGCCCTTAAAAGTTACTCTTTTCTTCTGCTGCATCATCTTAGCACTTTAGGCGCAAGTCTGCTATGGCCTTTACCCATGTTGCCTTACCTTACCAAGAGCTTTTCTTTGTTTTCTTCCCCACCAGTCCAGAGCGGGCCGTTGCTTATCCATCTCTTCATGTCCCCAGGAGGCAGTTCTCTCTGTGCACCTCTGACACTTGGGACTAGAGCTGGCCTCCATTTGGCCAGTAGGTAAGACACATTTTACTCATTCTACTCACTGTGATTTCCCCACTGATAGTGTTTGACTCTCAGCTTCCATCCTAACTAGGGCTAGTTCCTCAACCATTCTCTCCAACTTGGTAAATCTGTGCCCTAGAGAGGAATACATTAGAATATATAAGCTTGACCATTATTTCTTAGTTCAGGGCCAGTATTAATCCTAATAGGCATTTCGTCATAACATGCTTCTCAAGCAGAGAGTCTGTTGGTGTGACTGGGAATCAGAGGGTCATCACAAAGTCCTCAAGAGAAGGATGATAAATAAAGTGATGGACAGAAGACAGAATGCTCACACCTGGTCCAGGCACCAGTCCGGTTAATATCCTGCCTCGTCTTTCACACCATGATTTGTACTCCCTATAGAGACATGAAACAGCATATGAGGGAAAGTACCTTGGGTCAAATAAAACAGCATGGATAAAAAGTCCTCCTGTGCGTAGAGCCATTCTCCTCTGAGCCTTGACTATAAATCCAAATAACAGCACCTGCATCTTTCCAATGCAGAAGGAAGTTGTGATGGTCAGGAATCAACCTGAGAGTTTTAACCTCAAGAGGCCAAAATGTTACTACTTGGAGTATTATTGTCTTACTCATATAGTCAACAGTTATTTCTCAGTAGATGGTATTCTGGGGGCATAGTGCTAGGTGGGCATTCAGGAGGACACACAGGTTAACGAGGCCCTGCCCCTACTCCCGAAGGGCTTACCGTGAAGCTACTCAGCGGGGGCTGCATGGACTGTGCCTGGCCTGGGGGTTGTTTGTGACCCTCCACAATGGATAAGAAGAAAAACCGAGAAGCATTTAGAAACTTGTACAGCGAGTAATATCATGTGTGTTGAATCTGATAACAAAAATTCAAGTTTGCCTTTTATGTCTCATTTTTAATTCATTTTCAGTACTGATTATGTTTTATAAAGGTAAGGGTCTACAACAGATTGGAAACTGAAAAACAACTTGTCCTTAACTATTTCCTGTTTGAGAAGCACTGGTCAAACACACACATGACTAAACTATAAAACAGGCAAAGGATAAATGTATAATATTACAAAGCTGAAATAGTTTAATGTTACAGAGGGGGAGGAAGATTCTGAAAGAGATGGGTGCAAAGGTACAGGAAGCCTAGGAAGTCACAAACTTCCCCTTTCCAAGCTGAACAAAAATTAATTAAAAGAAACAATTATTATTGACACTAGTAGGAAAAATAATCTCCTCATGATGAATGACATGATGAACCAAACTTTATGACACTTTAAATATACAGAAATATTTAGATGTGAAACTATTGGGACCAAATGTAAAGAAGATCCTGGAAATCTAAACAGAGTTTTTTTCTGGAAGAAGTGAACAGAATGGTTGAAAACAAGCAAGGGGATTCTCAAAAATACCAATGTCTCAAGCTAGAGAAGTATTGGATCCGGGGACACTGGAGACCCCAGAGTAAGTTCCTCAGTGTGCCTTCTAGAGCCGCCTTTCTTCTCTCCATAAACAGTATTCTGAGACCACAGGAGTGGACTTGGGGCAGATAAACTTAGTAATAGTTTTCTCTAGTCTAGCGGATGGCAGAAGGCAAGGAAGTAATAATATACCAGCAGCAAGTGTTTCAACAAAGGCCTGGCAGCAAAAGAGGTGGATTCGAAGGAGGAACATGCCTGTAGCCACACCAAATCGAATGCTTGCTAGCTACAGGGCTTCTCTGTAACTTTACCTCTGTAAAGGAGTGTGCTCACACCACAGATGGGAAAAATTGAAATCTGAAGGATACCTTCCCTTTGGGATGGAATCCACTGCTTCTTCAGTGAGGGGTTTTCTGGTGTAGAAGTTCCAACAAAACCGGAGATTAATCAAACAGAAGCAAAATGACCAACGGCCGTGGCTGCCTTTCCTGGGAAGCTGAGAGATTATCAACATCTCACGCCGAATCTCATTATATAAGAGTTCACACATTTGGGGTAAACATTATTTTTCTGGCAAACAGGAAGACAGACTACCTGCCTTTTAAAAAGTGAACAAGAAAAAAAAAAAAAGCAAGAAAAATTGGCATGTTTCCAACATGAAAGTTCTGTCCCCAGTCCTCCCTTCCCCCACCACAAGAAGGAAAGGTTGAGAGAGAGGCTGAACAGGTATGGAAAAGAGGGAAAGAGGAGGGCTTCATTTTAGAGAATTTCAATTGAAAACAAACAAACATGACAACTTTTACTGAATTCTCAAATAAATTTTAAAGTGCATGGATGAAAAAAAGTGCCCAAAATATGGTAAGAAAGCATGATACAAGGAATAGGGATTTAGCAGAACTTAGGAAAGAAATTGAGGAGAAAAGCAATGCTTTAAGACATAAAACTGCAATGATCAAAGCAGGGAGCAGAACCATTGCCACAGGAAACAGGATTTGGAAAGTACAGGAAATGTAGCATATCACGACAAACTAAAAATGTTAAAAGCAAGAATGGTAGGTGTGGAGGGAAAGGCAGTATATATAGATATGTGTATTCTGTATATTAAGTATATATGATAATTAATATGTTATATATACTTATAATCTGACAAATGGATAATTCATGATCATAAAGAAAAGTAAGAGTTCTACTACAATAAAACAAATATTTGGATAAGGAAGACTTGAGTCTACACACTGAAAGGGGTCACAGAGCCTGGAAAAATCAATAAACATCAACCAATGCTGAGAAAAAATTCAGTAAAGTTATTGTACTACAATGATGAAGAAACCATTCTGCAAGCATCTATGTAGAATAAGCAAGTTACTTAAGAAAATAAAAGAGACCAGGTAGATTTCTCACAGAATTAGATACCAGAACATAATGATAGCAGCAGGTTAAGGCCATGGGCTTTGGGGACAGACACACCAGGCTTGTCCATTCACCTGCTGTGTGACCTTGCACTTGTACCAGTTACTTAAAGTTTCTGATTCTCAGTTTCCTCATTTGTATGGAAAGATGACCCAATCATATAAAATTAGCCATTGCATGCTTTTCTAACTCCAGAGAGGTCATGAAGAGGAACGAGACAGACCATGTATCAAAATATAAAAGTCAAAGAAATAACCTCCAAGGCACCACAATATACAGAGTGAGAACTACTGGAGCTCTAAGAAGAAATCCTGAGAAGCGTAATAGGGAGGGTGACTTGATAAATGTTTCTAGTCCTCATTAGGACAAATAGAAAACAAATCAATAAGGCAGAAGGACTTTAAATTGTATAATCAGTTAAGTAAATATCTGTTTTATGTCTTACAACCGAGAATATATATTAGTGAATTCAAGAGGCATTTACAAAAATGTTCCAAACTACTTCCAAAATTATTCCTATATATATATATATATATATATATATATATATATATATA